AAAATTTGATTTTAATTATTTTTAAGACCTTGGTTATGCTTCTAGTACTCAAGGATGTTCTGATTCATTATAAATGCTTATGACCTAATTGACATCTTTTGGAAACCTCTTACAAATTTTCAAGCCTATATTTTAAGTCTTGGGCTATTCTTTGGGCTTTACTCCTTTCCAAAGTCCTCCCTCCTCCTGGAACCCGATCTCAATCCTTTTCCAATCTACCCATCAGGTTAACCACTCCCTTCCCCACTGTAGTCTTTGATTGTGAGGAGAGTGGTATAAACTATAAATGTGAATTTCTCTTTAAAGAAAATTTAACTATTAAAATGGTTTGCATTTTTTGGTATTATTGAGGCAATTAAAGTTTGCATGAACTAATTGGATTCAGGTCATAAAATAAAAGTATCTAGCACAGAAATTCCAAATCAGCCCTGTTTAAATTATCGTTAAGTCAATGCTAGCCTTTATCTTCTGACAGTATTATTTATTGGATGGCTTCAGTGTGCATATGGATAAGAGTTTAAGAGACACTAAGAGAAGATACAAAAACAGAGATAAAATTGAATAAGTGCCCATTGTTAACGGTGCAGTTTAAAATGTGGTCTACCAGCTGAGAGTTACTTGTTTTCTTTAATGACACTACTGGTCTTCTAATCTCATTTTTTGAAGGTCCAATTATTGTGACTAAATGTACATTCTAAGTACATTCTCAAGAATAATGTCAGTACAGATAAAAAAGATTTCATTAAACAACATCAGAAAATAATAATAAAATTCTCTTACAAGCATTGCAAATTGATGGCAAACTAAGCAACTTCTCAAAATCAAATTATGTGTGCTTTGTGTGTATGTGTTTTGTAATCACTTCAACAACCCTAACAACATTTCATAGAAAAACACATCATAATCCATCAGGCAGATGCAATATGATAGTTACCACTATCTGCATCAAAATAACATTTATTTAACCTACAAAGGTAATTTTATATCTGATATTATCTCTACCATTGATACGATTCTCTACTTTTTAGAAATGTAAGCTATTATTATTATTATTATTAAAGTTACAGAGATAAAATCTCATTGTCAGTATAATAAAATATAAGGACATTAAGAGAAGAGAAAAAGGAAAAATGTTTATTATCATTTGGATTACTATTATATATATCAATGGTTTTACTCTGGATGTACTCTAAGTGGTTGAAACTAAGGAGTAAAAACTTAATAATAATAAAATTCCAATAAAAAGTGAAATAGATTTCCAAGACATGAAAGTTCAATGTACTGAGCTTAATAAGAATTTACAGAAAGTGGCTGATAATATGTTCTGAATTCTGGCTAATTCAAGTTTATTTAATATGTGGATTTATATTTATTTTTAAAATGTTTTTTATTTATTTTTGAGAGTCAGAGAGAGACAGGGCAAGCAGGGGAGGGTCAGAGAGAGAGGGAGACACAGAATCCTCGGACAGGCTCCAGACTCCGAGCTAGCTGTCAGCACAGAGCCCGATGTGGGGCCTGAACCCATGAACCCCTAGATCATGACCTGAGCTGGACACTTAAGTCAGATGCTTAAGCCAGACACTTAAGTCGGACACGTAACCAACTGAGCCACCCAGGTGTCCCTATATTTTTTAAAAAAAGTAAATGTAGCATATAAGAAGGGACCACTGGTAAACAGACAAAAAGAACAGCACAATTTGAGACAGTAGATTTACATGAATAAAAGAGTCAGGAAATGAACAGGGAGTCAGGAATGCCATCTGAAGTCAAAGAAAAGCAATCAACAATAGTAATAGAAACTGGAACAACATCAGATTTGATAATAAGGAACAAGATATATAATTCTATATGCAGAAATCCTTTGAGTTGTGTAAAAATTCATTGCTTATATTTTTCTTTGAGAAGATATCTTGATTAAACACCTGATAGAAAACATGATGTGTGCATTTCAGCTTCTCAAGTAAATACAAATGACTGAATAATGTTTGTTTCTCAACATCTGCTTCTTCAATGGGCAAAATAGACACTGGGTTGGATGAATTCCCAATCGGTAGAAGTTAAACATTTCTTCCATGTATTCTGAAGGTCTCTCTGTAGACGATGTATTTAAAATGTACAAATGAGCCACCAAATGTTCTATGCCTGCCTATGATAGAATTTTAAGTAATTTTCCTTATTCTCTTCTCTCCTTCTTTCATCTATCCTTCCTTTTCTCTATATCTGCTTTGCTGCTCTTTGTGTTGGGAAAAATCATAATTGTGGAACCGAACTATTATCAAGGTTTATTTTAAATTAGAGCCTGGGAAGTAAATTAGCCTCTATTCCCACACAGTAATAATGTCAGTAAATGAAAGCTTCCAGTTATGGTGCAGGAAATTAAAGCAATGATGGCCAAAGCTTGAACAGTCACAAGAGACTTACATATTATTGATTCTAAGAAAAGATAGATTCCTACTATCCAGAAAATGACATCTGCATCAAAATAAATGACTAAAACACAAAGTAAACAAGTCTGAGTCAGTTTAGTAATAGGAAAATTTGGAAATATCTAAAAAGAAAAAAAATAGCAGCAAATCAGGAACTATAAGAGAGCAAACTGGAATTATTGAGAATATGTGAAGAGTATAAGGTCACACATAACTATATCACTAAATTTAATATCTTAGAAGGGATGTACATTAATTAAAGTGTAAAATCCTATGACCTAAGTGGAGTGACTGCTAGTGAATTCCTTTTTAAGTTGATGTTGTAAAATCAGATGGTAGTGATGATTATATAATGTTGGGAATGTACTAAAAACTACTGAAGTGTACATTTTAAAAGAGTGAATTTTATGGTAGGTGAATTAGAGCAATAAAGGTGTTATTAAAAACAACAACAACAAACTTCTGATCTACCTAATCCCACCACCCCTAAGAGGTCTTTAGAGGCAAATATTTTTAATGTCTTTATCTAACTAATCCTAATTTGTTCTACAGTTTCTCCTGGGATCCACAAAATGAACTCAGATTTGACCATAATTCATAAAAGTCAGATTAAAAAATAACTATTGATATATTTGGACAAAGGGCCTTATATAGCCTTCACTGTACTCAAGAAAAAAAAAATCAACGGAAATGAGACAGTCTTCATTCAATCATAGTGTTCGTGCCTCTGAACAGACACGTATTCCACTTTAACTATGCTCCCAGTAATGTTTCTGCTTGTCTTCTCTCATGAATCCTCTCTTCTGGGAAGTGTGCGGCTTTATTGCCAGCATATTCAGGCTGCTGACTGCTGGTGGAAAGTCATGAAATTTGGCTTATTAACTTCTGTACAAATTGATGTTATCTAACCTCATCTGAGCCTTCACTACTGCTTGGAAATCTTTTTATTAATGTCTAATTGGCTCCTTAACACATTTTCCATAGTGCTCATTTCAAAGCTTTTCAAATCTCCTGTCCTCTCAAAATGACCTCACCTATTCCCTCAGCTGAAGTCAGGTTCTTCTACTTGATGGAAAAGTTCTTCCATTTCAAAATTTATCTTATCTTTCTTTCCTTCATACTCATCTCAGAAGACAGGGGTCATTTTACTCTTCCCAAAACATCCTCGTTGAGTGGAAATAAATCTAACTGGCTTTATCACACACATCTGCCACTATCGAGCTCTAGCACCATGGGCAAGGCAATTAATTACCTAATCTTTGATTTTTTTCATCTGTAAAATTAATGTCTTGGACAAGGTGAATTCTAAAGCCACTTTCATTATTAAATAAGGTTTTCCTAATTTTATGTATAATCTTATGCCTTTCCATCCCCCAGGACCTTTACCTTTCATTCAGCCTCTCTCTATATTAAATACGAATGAAGCGTAAGATATTTTTTCTCTATTAATCTCCTCCTATAAACTTGATTCTTCTTACCCTAGACATTCTTTGGACTTTATTTTTAAAAATTCTTCTTCACCACCATCATCGTGAGTTAATTTTCGCATCATTTCTCTATCAAACTTTTTCAGGGGATAGGGAATGCTTGAAAACTCTACTTTCTTGCTACTGACTTCTCTCTTTGAATCTTCTAACTGGGTTTCTGCTTCCAGCACTCTCAAAATATTTGTTGCAAAGGATAAATCATTTTTCCTCGGTGCTTATCCTACTTGAATTATCTTTACTATAGAACACTGCAGACGGTGTTCTGAAACATCCTGAAGCTGTCTTCTCATTTTCCTCATGATTCTCTTTCAAGGCCCTAGCCACCTCTTGGCTTTCTCTATTTTTATTTTCCCGCCTCAATCTATGTCCTAAATGTGGGTATTCATCAGAGATCTATCTTGGTCTTCTTTCTAATCTTTTTCTATTGAAACTTTCATTCATGCTCAGGATCCCGACTGTTATATTGATGTGGATTACAAAAATATTTTTCACTGATTTCCTTTCCAGGATACTGGACATCTCTACATGTATATCTCACCAATTTGAAGTATACTGACACTAAAATTCTTCTCTACAACCCAATATGCGCGGGGGGTGGGGGAAGCAGAAAGGAAAGATACAAGCTGCCCCTGTCCCTACTGTCTTTCTTTCTGTTAATGATATAAATTTATTTCCAATAACTAGAACTGCCAGGTAAGGAAGAAGAGAAGCCATTAATACCAGGGACTACGCTGTCCTCTGAATATACAGTTTCTGACATAGCTAGTTCTTCATTTGACAAATGTCTCAATGTTCTAAAAGATATTAAAACAATCATCTTATAATTACTCAAGGGTATGATGTAGTTGCGGGAAAATTAAGCTGTTTTTAAACAACATCATACTGAATCTCAAGATTTTTCCTCTTTCTATATCATAACAAAAGTACAGCCATGAATTGAATTACCCCCATTTGCATCTCCAGTTCAAACATCTATTGCTGTGAGGTGATATAAAGACTTAGCTTTCAAGAAAATCCAAAGCATTTATTTCAACTAGACTTCAAAAGAGAAAAGAAAAAAAAAAAAAGAAAGAAGACATAAACTCACACTTTATCTGTTCCATAACTCCTATAGTCTACTGCTGCGGACACAGCTACTATGAGCGCAGGCATCCCATAGCCAACCAGGTAAAAGTATTTCCTGCGTGAATGCTCACTCTCAAAAACCTCCACCAGCATAATGTAGAGCTGCACCCCCTCCAGGAACATCCAGGTGAAGGCCGCCAAGAAGAAGAAATGTAGTAGGGCAGCAAAAACTGCACAGGCAATCTAGGAAAGAAAAGAAATGATTTGAATGACAACCAAATGAAATATAATCAACTACCATAACATCAAAATAAATATTTATCAGGGTGCCTGCCTGGCCCAGGAGGTTAAACATCTGACTCTTGGTTTTGTCTCAGGTCATGATCTCATGGTTTGTGGGTTTGAGCCCCACATCAGGCTCTGTGCTGAGGGCGTGGAGCTTGCTTGGAATTCTCTCTCTCTCTCTCTCTCTCTCTCTTTCTCTTTCTCAAAATAAATAAAAATAAACTTACAAAATAAATATTTATCAAGAATGTGGTAATACAGTAGTCTGCCAAAGAATAACCTAAATAAGATTCTTAAAATTCAGGTATAAAAACCTAATTACGTATAACCTATTTTTCAAAATACATGTAACATTCTATTAATAATGTCTTACAGATGACAGCATAGTATTATAAGAAAAAATAATAAAATTTAGGAAAAGTTCTAATAAGAGCCTGTTAATTGATAATTATTTATGATATTAAAGTTTTAAAAATACATCTCATGAATTATTTTTCTTGGCCATATCATGTCTGTTCTAACATATTAAGTTCTTCAGTTGTAAGTGAAAGAGAAACATTAAAACCAAGGAAAATACAGCTCTTAAAATTAAAAACCAGGGGCACCCGTATGCCTCAGTTGGTTGAGCATCCTACTCTTGGTTTCAGCTCAGATCATGTTCTCATGGTTCCTAGGTTCAAGTCCTGCAGCAGGCTCTGTGCTGATGGCATGGGGCCTGCTTGGGTTTCTCTCTCTCTCTCTCTCTCTCTGCTTCTCCCTTGCTCATGCTTGCTGTCTCTCTCAAAATAAATAAACATTAAAAAATAAAAATGTAATAATTATAATATTTTGTGATGGGATCATCAATTCATTATTATTATTTGCTTGTTTATTTCTTCTTTGCTTGGTTTCAGAAAGGATTTAAGGTGGCATTGGGAAGTTCATGCTACAAAGTGTAAAAGTAGGTTTAAAAAAAAATACAGTAGAGGCTCCAGAGTATGTACTTTGCTCTCTATTTTCTTTTTCTTTCTTTCTTTCTTTCTTTCGTTCTTTCGTTCTTTCGTTCTTTCGTTCTTTCTCTCGTTCTTTCTTTTCTCTTTCTATCTTTCTTTCTTTCTTTTTTTTTGTTATTGTACAAAACGTTGCCCTAGAAGACACCCAGCCCCTACTTTGGCATATTCTCTAAGGTACTACGAGTTTCAGCTGATCATATATTAGTTTTCTTATGTGAGTTCTGAAATTCTCACTCCTTGGGGAAGTAGCAGTATTTATTTTCAATTAAGAAATTCTAATTAAAATCTATAACTCCTACCAGAAAAAAGCAACAAATTTATAGAAATCATCAGGTTATTATTAATTCAATGATGAGTATGATCCTTGCGAAAGAGACAGAGGGCAAGTCAGTTTCACTGAGTTAGAGAGATGACAATGAGGATGCCTCATGTCACCAGGCTAGAGAGAAAGCAGCACCTACTCACCATAGAAAAGGCAGGAAGAGGAAACCTATCTAGCAACAAGAGGAAAAGACAAGTTGGGCTAAGATGCACTCTACTCAACTTTTCCATATCAATCTTTGTTCTCTAGGCTACTTGTCAGAACTTAGTTTGTGCAGCACGCAATGTGTGGTGGTTTATCGTACCATATGTACATTAGGAAACAAAAATACGAATAAAGTTTCTAAATGAAAAAAAATCATACAGCATTTGAATTGCAGGTTAACAAGAGAATGAAATGATTTCTTCTTGGAAAATAACACAGTTTTCCATTTCTTGCTTTTTAGAGTTAGAACCTCAACTATTAATTTTTGTTATCAGAAGACTTTACTTTTTTGGAAAAAGCAATGTGCACTTTGATTGCTTATTCATATGTATGCCTTTATGGGAAAAGCTGTCTCATTTGTATATGATAACCAATTAAAAGTAAAATCACCATAATTGTACCCTTTACAGCCATTAATCATGAATGCATAATCACAAACATGAATCCAACTGCATTTTTATTGTAAAGTACTCCATACTTATGGACACATACCAGAGAACAGCATTAAGGGAATGAATTATTTATTATGCCTACACATCTTCTAAAAAATGGAAGTTTTATTTTCAATTGCAGTTTTAGTCACGAGAGCAAACTTGCACTACGTACATGAATCCTATGTAAATAGAACGGGCATTACAAAAAATATAAGTAGGCACAGAGTCTTTTGAATAATTAGATACTATCTCTTATTGATAATTTGTTTGGTTTTACCAGAAACAGTTGGCTGGTGCTGTTTCTTTCCCCCTTTTTCTTTCCCTACTTCTTTTCTTCCTTCCTCTCCTTCATTTTCTGATGAGTGAACATAGTAGTAAAGTACAAAGCTGGCTTTAAAGATACAAAAACAGATCTTGCACAAATGTGTGTTAAACAAAATTTGGGTAGAGTTTATAAATTCTAAAAATGACCTATGGTTTAAACTATTTTGCAAATAGGTCAATTAAATAGACTCATTTTAGACATGAAGTTTTTAATATGATATTAACATTTTTTTAAGTATATGATGAGGCACCTGGCTGGCTCTGTCAGAAAAGCATTCAACTCTTATCAGGATTACGGGTTTGAGTCTCACACTGGGTGTAGAGATTACTAAAAAAAATAAACTTAAAAAAAGAGTATGTGATAAACTTTGAAAAATAACAATTATATCTATTAGGAGAGATACTCTTCAATGATTTTATTTAACTATCCTCAATATTCTGCTCTGATGAAAAACAAAATGAAACACACACCCATACACACAAACTAATGAGGAGATACAGTTCTTTAGAAATGCAAGATTATGAACAGAATTTCTCAAGAAATGCACATTCATACATTCACTGCCTCTTTACAACAATGGGGTATAAAAAAGGAAAACTGAGTAAGATCTGAAAATTAACAATCATCTTAGACAACTAGAAGAGAGGATACTTTCAAAAAAGAATATTTTGGGTGCTAGAAAGCTGGGGTCAGAGACATTTTTTGCTAATATCAATGAAAGTTGCTTACTGGTTGGTCCGTTCGGTTGATCCCAATCAGGAAGAGAAGTTCAGCTACAAAAAGACTAATGCAGAGGTTCTTGTGGATGGTGTTACGGTCACTCTGGAGCCCACGGAAAAAGCAAAATGTGAAGATGCAAATCAGGAGACAAACAAGGGACAGCAAAATTCCAACCCATGTGATCACATCCAGAAGAAGGTCATGGACCGCATCACTGTGCTGGAAATACAACAGAAAAGCCGTAAGTTGCACTTATGCATAACAGATTATGAAGTCTTATAAGAGCCTGGATTCATGAAGCATGATTATCATAATACACTAAATATCTGATGCACACACAATGAATAAGATAACTTAATTTTTTGGGTTTTCTAGTCCACAGGTAAAAGATTTTATTTTTTCCTCTATGGTTTATATCAGTTTGCTATTCAGGGATATCAGTACAGTGTTTGTACCTTTCTTGATAAAATATATTTTCAGGATATAAATGGTTGAAGCAACCTAACTTAATTCTGGCCTAAGATTTCAGGAAAAAATTTCTTTTTTCAACTCATATATCACTTTTTTAGGCTAATTTTTTGACAACTCCCACTAGGGAATACTCTATTTTAAAAATTAAGCTATATGCTTAAGGAAGTGGTGTCTCAACTGAAATGCTTTTTCAATCACCAAAGGATTTTTTTAATAAAAAAAATACAATTCCTCTGTTCTGTAGATTCTTTATCAGAATTTCCAAGGTTGAATTCATAAAAGTATCTATTTTTATAAAGATTCCCAGTTAATTCTGATGAACAGCCACATATGTGTACCATTTATTTAGTGAAAGATCTAAAAGAATGAGGATATTCACTGGATTTATATTCATATTGAATGGCTTAAGGAGATCAGGAAGTGTGATCCTTGAAGGGTTTTGCATGAATAGAGCCTGTTATACATAGATGGAAAATAAGCATTCAGTATTACTGTACCCTATAGGAGCATAAAACAGAGCTAAGAAAAAGAAAAAAGCTCATAAAAGCTTTTGTACTAAAAGTGCGATTTTTTTTTTTTTTGGTTCTATTAAAACAGTCTTGTGATTTCCATACGATTCATGTTCCTTGTTCTGTGTACTATCTCATTTCTGTTCTTGTTCTAAGATATCAAACCCTATTCCTTTCCTATGGTAGACTGACTCTACCCAATACCACTTCCGTGAAGCATTAGAATTTATAGTGGTCCAACACAGCAGCGTGCCAAGGGTTGGAGCAGAGTTCAGAAAGTTTCCATGAGTGTTAATGCCTCTTTTCTTCATAGTTTCTTGAAAAGCCCTGAAGATCTAGTTTCCTTGAGTAGGTCTTCTTTTCAAAAACCTACTATTAGATTTTTTTTTAGTGTAAGTGGCAAAGGGATCTATACAGTATGATGTCATTTATACAAAATTTGAAAAGACAGAAAAATAGTGACATTCATTTTTATGGATATATGCATAAGCAGTAAAAGTATAACATGAAGATGGGAAATTTTTTCGTTGAAAACAAAGAGATGTGTTTCTAATTGACATCTTTTCCCACTGTGTAGATCATACACATTGATTTTTATTTTAAGGTTAGGGGTTACTACATTTAGTTGTCTTCCACACTGTTAGCTCACTCTAAAAAAGCATACATATCCAGGTTTTCTAGTGTTTCTTGCTTTTATTCAAACTTCATACTTTTAGGTTTTTTACAAACTTCACACAAAGATTATTCTGAATATGAAAATTCTTACAAGTGAGTCTCTCTGCTGTAACCTAAATCATAGCTCTTCTCAGATGCCAGATAAGACTTCACAGTTGTTATTTGATAAAGAACTCTGCTAGAACACTGTCAATGAAACAGTTTTGAAATATTCCTGCATAACTCTAGGTATATTTCTGGGAAGGAGCTGAAATCATGAAAAGAAAACTACATGAAATTTTGCTTTAGCTGCTTTGTTCTCCAGGGGACACTACTAACGTAGTGCTGGGTCTCAGATAGCTTAAATTACTTTTACTATTGGAGAGTGGAGAGTGGTTAGTGCTACCAGGTTCCCTGAACAGAGGGCTATTTGCTTTCTTCTTTGACTCAAAGGAAAGATGCTGTGATTGAGTATCAAGCACCAGTGTTCAGCACAGCAGTCTTCTATAATGGGAAAAATGGCAGGTATAATACATTCTCAAATGTATCCTAAAGACCTAAAACACTAACAAAAAAATAAAAAATAAAACCAGAATGAAAGAAAAGAAGAAACCAAAAAATCTCCTGCCTTTGTCTGGGTAGTTGCATTATGAGAAATATATTTACTTTACTCAGTGCCTTCATAAGTCCTTGAAAAATCCCATGCAGGGTTATTAAGAGAAGAATACCAGATGTCAAAACATCAGTACAAAGAGTACATTACACTCAAAGACAGAACAAAAAAGTCTAGTGATTAATTCATCTTTCAGGTATTAGTGTCTAGCTCAGAAATCAACACCGACCACCCTGTGCATACTATACTGTGAGAGCAGCACCCTTTCAGATACAACTCACCACTTGAATTTTATAAATAAGATGAAAGGAAAAGAACAATTGATATTAAATGCCAATAAAAGCTATGAGTATAGCCTTCTTCATCATGTGTGCCATAACAGAACTTCCAGGAGGCCAAGCTATGAAACAAACAAACCCCATTTAAGAGGATGTCCAATTGAATAAAACTCTTAGGTATGGCTGTAACACAATGATAATGGATCAAGTATTCTTATTTCCAAGGTTTGATGTTTGTGAGCACTATATAACTCAATCACCTATAACATGTACTATATATACCACTATGTGCCTTGAAAGCTTATTAATCCTATATCTTATTAATGTTATAACACAAGACCCAGTATTACGGGTTGACACATGAAAAATCCTTAATAAACATTTGTTTTTGAATGATGATGATAATCCCACTCTGCTTAGATCAAATGCCTTAGAGCTGAATCCTCTCTATCAGTGTAGCTATAACATAGCTTTCATCTCCACTGGATTCTTAAAAAGGTTTCAAGTTTTACGTGTCGAAAACTGAGATCCTGATCATATCCTGTTTCTCCTCCACCCTCCAGACAAATTTCTCTTCCCTCTGTCTTCCCATTTCAGTAAACAACATCATTCTTTGAGGTATTCTTGCCAAAAACTTATGAGTCATACTGATTCCTCTCTTTCATAGGTCACACTTTATTCATCAGGAAATCTTATAGGCTCTGCCTTCTAAAGATGGTAGCTGCCCATCACCTCAACTACACCAAAGTGGTTGAAGCCACCCATTTTTTAGTAACCCCTTAATTGATTTCCCCACTTTGATCATTGTCCCCCTTCACTGTATATACAACAGGGCAGAGAGATTCTTTTTAAATATAATTCAGATAATATGATTCACTGATGAATGGCATCTAATGTCTTCTGTCTCATTGAAAGGAAAAGTCTTTCAAAGGTCTACAAGGCACTAATAACATCAGTATCTCCGTGGCATCATATCCTATTCTCCCTTCATTCAGTTAATTCCACTAGTTGGCCTGCTCCATTATTTGAATATGTCAAAGATATTCCAGTCTCAGAATCTTTGCATCTGATGTTTCTTTGGCCTAGAATGCTCTTCCAAAAGATATCTGCATGGCTTACTTGATACCCTCTTTCAGTCCTTCATTCAAATGTTACCTTCTCGTAGAGGGTTTTTCTGAGTCACCATATCTGAAATTACAAACATGTTTTTCCCCATTCTGACTCTTTCTCTATTACTTTTTCTGTACTATTTTTCTCATCAGCACTTATCTACACTATATATTTTGCTTAATATTGCTTGTCTAATGTCTGTGTCTCCCACTAGAAAGTATACTCTAAGAAAATAAGTTGTTTTATCTTTCTAATCACCAATGTATCCCCAGGTCCTACAAAATTGTCTACCCTACAGTGGATGCACAATTAATGTGTTGATCGAATGAATGAATCTCTCTTGAATTATCCCCATCTTCTAGAATGGATTTAAATTACAAACTAAAAGTTGTATCATGCTGTCCACTGCCCAATCTTTGTGACTCTCTGGTTCTCAAATCATCTGCTCTAAAATCTTAAGTAAAAGATAAAGAAAATTAGGGCTGAAGAATGAGAAGGATGTTATACCATAATATTTTAAGATATGTTGACATGTCAATGTGTTACATAATTACAATAATGGAGGCCAAACTATGCAGAGAAGCAAGAAGACTTCAGGAATAAGTCTTAGGATCTAAAGGCATGGATTTAACCTTGTCACTCTAGTTTCACAATTGTTACCTGGAACAAACTACTCACCCTTTTGAGTATCAGAAGCCTCATACACATAGAGATAAAATAACAGGCTTCAGCATTTTGTGATAAGTAATTAAGATAACATATATGAAAGCAAGAAAGTCAGTGTTTCTTATTTCCTTTTTAAATCTGCAAACAGTCTGGGTTATATTCTTGTTTGGCAGCAGCCTTCATTTAAATAATCAAAAGTCTGTATGAATGACAAGGATTGGATCAAAAACATAATAACTGTGACAAGAATAAACATTAATGTTATTTTAACTAAGGACACAAAACATTATTTCAACCACCTAATGAATTACCTAAATTCATTTTTATAACATTGCCAGTTTAGTTTATGTTATTAATATTTGTGCTTCTGATGAATTAAGGTCACAAAATACCTATATCATCTGCAGGAGGCAGATTTTAAATTTAGAAACTGAATTCTACAGACATTACTGTACAAATTGTTTATGACTTTTACATAATATAACACAAAGGGGCTCAATTTCACTTTTATATTCTTCTTTAATTATAACAAAAAGACAAATTAGCAACAGAAGATATATAATTAATCCCCCCCCCCCCCCCCCCCCCCCCCCCCCCCCCCGTGTCTGTACTTGCATAGACTAGTATAATCTGTTGGGAAGAATCCTTCAACACTCACAAAAATTTTTTTAAGACAAAAAATAAAAAACTTCAAGGAAATTAACTTCTTAAGAGAAGATGGAAAGGTGAGAGAAAATCTTCAAGCAGAATGAAAGAAGGATTCCCAGAATGATATTCCAGAAAGATACTTTTGGGAAATGAAATGATTCAATCCTCTCTAAAAACAAATTTTTATTAAAACGATATTTGTTTTTCAGGCTTTCTATAAAGTTTCTTTTCATATTTGAAATGCCAAATATTTTGTAAAATCTATGCAAA